TGAACATTTCTGGGCCTGTAAATCTACATGGCCGAAGGGGCTGAAGCAACGTCGTGCCTGATCCTACCATAGAAAGGATAAAGGGGAGGAATGAGGGATGGGGATCATTTCGGACGCTGATAATTCAAGCAGTCAAGCTGGATCACAAAGTAATATATGCTGCCTTCAAAATGTCTAGTACATGATTCATTATTGCTTATTATGAGGACTTAAGAGTTTCAGCCTGTAGAAGTTTAAATAAAATACAGATCTGAGAGATCATGCAGTCGAGCCAGTTCATTTTACAGATGAGCACCACAGGCCCCAAACCACACAAGCCTTCAGATAAAACCGGGGTCTCAGAGGTAGTAACCAGGCAGGAGTTGGTGGATTTCCCCTGGCTCCTGCACTATGGGGCGCTAGATCCGTCACATTCCCCACCCCTCTACAGATAGTTTTGGGAGCAAATCCCAGGAATGTTTCTTGTGGATTCACATGTGTCAAGGATACTCACTTCTACACCAAAGGCATTGATGCCCCACCTGGCACATAATAGCCACTCAATAAATGTGTTAGATGAATGAATGAATGAATGAATAAATGAGTGAATGTGTAAGTGTGAATGACCTCAAAGGTGAGCGATGCTGCCCAAACCAAGGTCACCGAAACTGGCCCTTAGGGCACCATCCTCTGAAGCCACCAGCGCCATCATCTTTATTAACAGCCAAGCAGCTGGCCCCAGAGCTTTCTGTCGTGCTATTCCCCGGATATCTCAGTGAAAAGTCTTTGATTCAATTTTCACTCCCTCTCTTATCATAGCTGTCTTGCTCTAGGACTCCACTGGGGGTCCGAGAGCTGTTCTCCCTCTGCTATTTCCTGTTGTTCTTGAATAAAACAAACTCCCCTTCAACTTTGCTTCTCCATGGGACATATTGTTCTCTGAGAGGCTCCTTGATCCTGCAAGTAATTAGGTCTGGGAGGGGAGGGCGTCCTATTGTCTTCCAGACTGGTTCAGACATGTCTAGACCCAGCTTAAACTACCTTGTCTGTGACACAAGGATGGTAACATGTTGGAAAGAAAATGAGACAAGCACTTTGCTGCTGTCTGGTAGAGCAGGTGGGGCCCCTGTTTAACATTTGCTGATCTCCACTTAAGAGCAGGACATCATTAGCCTTAGTCGCCATCCTGAAATGGGCTCTGTCACTTGGATAGCCTTTGTCAGCTGAAAGCTTTCTCTCCATAAACATCAACAGACTGGAAACCCAGGGAAAACTTCGTTTTTAATATTTAAAAATTAAGTCTCCACATGCACTCTGGGACAGAGGGGCAATAAATTACAACTTGCTATGTGCCAGAGATTATACTAATTGTATATCTGATTAAATTCTCACAACAGCCTTAAGAGGGTTTTGTAATCCTCGTTTGCAGATGAAAAGTGGAGGAGGAGAGAGTAAGTGGCTTGCCTGAGTAAGGGCCAAGACAGAATTCAAACCCAGAGTTTTCTCGTCACAAAGCTAGTATCCTGGTGGGGCATGGTGGCTCATGCCTGTAATCCCAGCACTTTGTGAGGCTGAGGCAGGCAGATCACTTGAGGTCCGGAATTTGAGACCAGCCTGGCCAATGTGGATAAACCCCGTCTCTACTAAAAATACAAAAATTAGCCAGCATGGCGGCGGGTGCCTGTTATCCCAGCTACGCGGGAGGCTGAGGCAGTAGACTCGCTTGAACCCAGGAGGCAGAGGTTGCAGCAAGCTGAGATCACGCCACTGCACCCCAGCCTGGGCGACAGACTGAGACTCTGTCAAAAAAAAAAAAAAAAAAAAAGCTAGTATCCTTCTCTTAGTGTTGCCCCTGCAGAGGAATCTTTTTTTTTTTCTTTTAAAGCACCCTACATCACATAATGTCAGCTGGACTTTTCTGTGATATTAACACTGGGATCCTGTAAAACACTATATTCTGACCATAGTCTAACACTCTGCGTAACGCACATACGATTAGCCGAGAAAACATAGTGTTTGAACCTCCTTTGCAGAGAGGAAATTCTCACAACTCCAAAGCAATGGTCAGCCCAAGGCCAATGCCGTCTGATCACCCAGCCCAAGGCTCAGCTTAAAACCTTCTAGAGGGTCTCACTCTAAAGATAACCCAAAGGTCTCACAGCTTCCTGGTTGCGAAAAACAGCAACAGTAGCAGGAATTGAGCCCTAAAGATCATTTGGGTAGAAATGAGGAAGGAAATGGCATGTTAAATGATGATTCTTCCCTAACTTGCCTTGTTCTTTCTAGATGTGGCTCAAGAACTTGTAGAGTTATGGTGGGATAATTCGACTGATCAAATGTTGAAAGTTTCCTATCGATTTCAAGGCTGTTCAAATCTCTATGTACTCTGAAGCCTCAGATGTAACAGAATTCCTCAGAGATTCATGTTTCTATAGATGCTGGGCTGGGCTGACACAGATAACCCCTCAGGAGGCCTTTCCGAACCGCCGTATAAACTGTCCTAGGTCCAGCAATAAAGCAGGTGTGTCATTGTAGTTCTCTGCCCTTCAGAAGATCTGATCTTAATACTCTTCTCTTCTTTTTGTACCTCTCTGATTTCATCAAATTTGTTCCCATTCTGGGTGTTTCTCCTTCTCTCCCCGACCTTTTTCTACTTCAGATAAAAGAACTTCCCCTTTTTCCCACGTCTGGATTTGCACCCTGGAGGACAATGCAAGGTTAACTTCCCTCCCACCTCCTCTTGTAGGCACACAGGGTGCCCCTTCGCCAGCGAAATCTCCACCCCCGAGAGCCTCTCACAATTTCAGGCCGATGAATTGTAGTAGGAGACATGGTTTAGTTTGATGTGGTTAAGTCAGTCATCATGGCATCTTCATACCCTCAGCCCCCAAACCGCTCTCCTGCTCATCACCCTCACTTTCATTTCTTTGGATTATCTTTCATCGGTTTACCACCAGTCTTCACAGCCTCACCCAAGGCTGAAGCAGGGCTAGCAGGGTGGTGCGTTTCCTTCCCTGGTTGAGCTGGTGACTGCTGTGGGTAAGCAGGTCCAATGTGAACTCCACAGGAGCAAGAGAAAGAGAAAGCAAGAGTGAGCAGGCTGCAAAGACTGTTGCTTCATGGTTTCCCCTAAGCCCCAGAAATAGAAAGGCAGACTTCCGACTGGCAGAGACCGTATGCTAACCACCAGACCATACTGCCAGATAAGAAAATGTTCAATTGTGTCATACTTCCCTCATCAGCTCCAGCGTCTGAAAATGGCCCTGAATTTCAGAGAGCCTTACCATGACCCGGAGATTTAGAGAGGATCGAAGAGGGAGGACAAAGGAATCAGGCATCTTCTCTCTCCCTTTTCTGGGGTAAATTTATTTTCAACCACAGAAGTAAAGGAAAGAAAAAAAATCACGACAGATGAGTTATGAGCTAACTTTCTGATCTGCACGTGTAAGAGAAAGAAATGAACTGGATGTCATTAGACATTGAGAAAGGGAATCTGCAAGCTAGCAATGTGTCTTTGGCCTTTTCCATTTAATTTACACGTGTTCATTTATGAGTACCTACTGTGTGCCAGGCATGATGCTTGGTGCTGCCAATTCAAAGAGAAATAAATCACCTCCTCGCAAAGTGAGAAGGCAGAACTAGATTCGGATTTACCTAGATTCCTACTCTTGTGCTCAGGCCACCACCACCACGGAAATAATTTTGCTTGACTCTCCCAGAGCAGCCGCGGCAGGCATGTATGTTGTCAGCCGCTGCAGGAAGAGTGATGGCCAGGGTGTTGACAGGCTCCTAATTGGAAGGTAGGAGGTGCCACCAGAGATCAGCTATAAAAGATATCTTTGGACTGGGGTGGGCTGCTAATGCTTGGAAGAGACTTGTGGGTGAGGCCCGGTGAGATGTCACCTTGGAATAGGGCCTTGCCCAGCAGACAGACATGCATGCGGGGGAGGGAGCTGACAGACAGGGGCGCGTGGGGAAGCAGCCATTGCAGAGAACGGCAACAGCAGATTGCAAACCAGGACTTCAGGACTCAGAGGGGGAGAAGGAAAGGAGAGCCTGTAATGGCCCCAAAGCCCAGAGTCAGAGGCAGGGCCAGGAGAGCAGCTGATAAGAACTTTACGGTAAGGACAAAAGAGAAGAGAGCTGGAGTCCCCTTTTATTCAGCTCATGAAGACCCAACTTCGGTGCACTTATAACTGTTCAGACCCTGAGGAGTTCAAAAAAACAACCATATTAGGAGAATTCCATGTTTAATTAAGAGATGATCAGATCCGGCCGGGCGCGGTGGCTCACGCCTGTAATCCCAGCACGTTGGGAGGCCGAGGTGGGCGGATCACGAAGTCAGGAGATCGAGACCATCCTGGCTAACACGGTGAAATCCCGTCTCTATAAAAAAAATACAAAAAATTAGCCAGGCGTGGTGACAGGCGCCAGTAGTCCCAGTTACTCCAGAGGCTGAAGCAGGAGAATGGCGTGAACTGGGAGGTGGAGCTTGCAGTGAGCCGAGATTGTGCCACTGCCCTCCAGCCTGGGGGACTGAGCGATACTCCATCTCAAAAAAAAAAAAAGAGAGAGATGATCAGATCCACGCACCAAAATTATTGCTGGGTAAGACAATGCTGTATGTGTTACATGGCATTGGAACTTAGGAAAGCTCTTTCCTTGTGTTGTCTAATTTAATCCACTCAACAGCCCTGCAAAGTGGATACCATTGTCCCTGATTTTTTATGAATGAGGGGGCCGAGGTGCTGAGAAGCGGTGTACTTTATTTGAGTTTGTCTGGCTAGTCAGTGGCTGAGCCAAATTCCAATCCAGGTCATGTGAGCCTCTGAACTTTCTGATACAACCTGCAGCCCCTCTTAACTGGGATAATACAGTAATGCATTGAGCAAGAAGGAGAAGTAAATATAGGCTGATGGTGTAGGCGAGAAGTTCAAAGGGGGAAGGCCTAGGAGGGAGAGGGAGCTATGTGTGAACAGAAACAAAGACGGCTTCTTGGAATTGGAAGGTCTCTTGGAATTCGTCCAAACTGAGGATCGCAAGTCTTCATGTTCTCAGTAGGAGGATGAGGGTCTGAGTTAGGATTTGGGCCCTGTAGGGCTTGCTGAGGACATCCCCTGATGGCTAGGATTCCACACGGAGCACATCTGGTGTGACAGAGCTCACTGCAAGGGTGAAGGCTCCGCCCTATCAGATAGACAACCAGGCCACCGAGAGGCCCAGCCCTGCAAACCCTGGATTTGCAACATCCTCAAAGAACAGCAACGGGCCTTGAGCAGAATTGAGAAGGAAATACCCCCACCTGCCCTCAGCCTTGAAGTGGGCTTTGCTATTCACAAGGGCCTGTTGGTGTCCTGGCAGAGAGGAGATGGCACAGGCACCAGGTGCTAGGGTGCCAGGGCCTCCCGAGAAGGAACAGGTGCAAAGCAGGCAATTAGCCCAGAAGGTATCCGTGGGGCAGGCAGCCTAGATCTGATGGGGGAAGCCACCAGGATTACATCATCTGCGGTGAGTAGGCTTCATTAATTCTCCGATGAATGGAGGATTGCAAGGGAACTTTTTTCATCTTCAAGGAGCCAGAAGAAGTGGTAATTAAATCGGTCTTTTAAAATAAAAAGACTCCAAAGGGGTACAAGCCTTCAAGCTTCCCCTATGGTGTTCCGGGCACTCTGGCTTCTCTTTTGGAGGGAGGAAGAGCCTATTCATAGGCTGTGACTTGGAGAGGCCCCACGGTGAGTCAGGCGCTTGCTGTGTGAGCCGCTGGTTGCTAATGTCTTCGGGAACTGCTAATTTACCCGTTTAATTTGTTCCTGTACACTGGCCACAAAGGGAGACCACTCAATTATTCTGATCCAAAAGAGAGGCTTGTGTTTACCATGATCTCCCCAGCAACTGTGTGAGTGTGTGTGCATGTGTGTGTGTGTTTGCCTAACAACCTTAGGCAATGAAGAAGAGGTGGGGCTGCTGTCCTTGTTAGCATTTTCAAACACATTCCAGTTCTGAGTTGAGGGCAAAGATTGTAATGGGGTGCCTCAGAAAAGCCTTGGCTCCCAAGGCGGTTATAACTTCAAGGGGTGTTTTGAAAAACCAAGGTGGATGGGGAAAGTGGCTACAAGTTCCTTCTACCACAGAGGATCAATGAAGGGGAACAAACATTTGGGAGTATCTACTTTGTGCCAGGTACTGTGCTTGGGTTTTACACATCTTATCTTGTTGACTTTGCATAACTCCCCTTTGAAGCAGATATTAGTCCAGATTCTTGCCCTAATGGTTCAGCTTAAAGAAAACCTGTACTTCTTTAGATTGCCCTGAAAAGGTGAATCTTCTGTGAAGCCTTTTCTGTCTTTATCTGTTAAAATTAATTAAGCTCTTGTTTGTGCTCCCAGAAAATCACTTTAGACCTTAGAAAGATGACAGTCTCAGTTTTCTCATCTGTAATATAGGGGTACCCATAGACTTATTGTGAGAAATAATAGAAATAAATCATGGAAGTGCTTGGATAGTAGCTGACACTTAGCGCTCATCAGTCATCATTGTCATTGTTAATAAGAGTAATAATAATATCACTTATTATAATTACTCACCTCTAAGTTTTTAAAAAACTTACAGGCTCACACCTGTAATCCTAACACTTTGGGAGGCTGAGGCAGGTGGATCGCCTGAGGTCAGGAGTTCAAGACCAGCTTGGGCAACATGGTGAAACCCTGTCTCTACTAAAAATACGAAAATTAGCCAGATGTGGTGGCAGGCACCTGTAATCGCAGCTACTCGGGAGGCTGAGACAGGAGAATCGCTGAACCCGGGAGGCGGAGGTTGCAGTGAGCCAAGATGCCACTATTGCACTTCAGCCTGGATGATGAGAAACTCCATCTCATAAAAACAAAAACAAAAACATAAAAACTTATATAAATTTATGGAGAACAAGTACGATTTTGTGACATGCGTAAATTGCATTTTGTGACATGCGTAAATTGCAGGGCTTCTAAGGTATCTATCACCAGCATAACACACATTGTACCCATCAATTAATTTCTCATCGTCCTCCCCCCACCCTTCTGAGTCTCCAGTGTCTATCATTCCACACCCTATGGCCATGTGTACACATTATTTAGCTCCCACTTATGAGTGAAAAATGTGATATTTGTCTTTCTGTGTCTGACTTTTTTAACTTAAGATAGCAGCTTCCGGTTCTACCCATGTGGTCTCAAGAGACATGATTTTATTCTTTTTTATGGCTGACTAGTATTCCATTGCACATATATATACCACAGTTTTAAATCCAATCATCCATTGATGGACACTTAGGTTGATTCCACGTCTTTGCTATTGTGAATAGTGCTACAATAAACCTACAAGTTCAGGTATCTAATACTTTCTTTTCCTTTGGATGGATACCCAGTAGTGGGATTGCTGGATCGAATGGTAGTTCTAATTTTAGTTCTCTGACAAATCTCCCTACTGTTCTTCCTAGAGACTGTACTAATTTACATTCCCACCAACAGCATTTAAGAGTTCTCTTTTCTCCGTATCGCCACTCGGTTGTAAGTTCCTTGAGTGTAGGGATCATCTCTCTTTTCTTCATTGCTTTGTAACAAGAGCCTAGGAGTGTTTTCATAAGTGTTATAAATTTTATAAGCCTTGCACATGGCAAGTGCTTGTTTTCTAGCTGACGGATGAATGAATAATGAGTGAAGGATGCCTCCTCCTCACTGCTGTGAGCTTCTGAGAATGGACCCTTGTCTGACCTGCTTCTGTATCGCTATTGTTACTGCTTTGTCTGGCACAACAGAACTGCTCAGCGATTCTGTTAAACAGACGCACAGGACAGTCAGATGCTGCTACCCAGCCTGTATCTGGCCTGGAGAGTCTGGCTGCCAGCTCATCTCCGTGCTCTGGTCTGGCTATGGTTAGCTGCCACAACAGGAACTCAGAGAGTGTGTCCTGGACACTTCACCCCTAGCTGGTGAGCTCTCTAAGGGTACGGATGGTGTCTTGTTTATTTTTAAATCCTTAGTGCCCAGCACAGCGCCTGGCACACAGAAGATGCTCAAATGGCTACCCCTAGCCTCTGACGTCCCAATGCAGTCAAAGAAGAGCAGAGTTCCAAATGAACTTGTCATCTCTCCCCTATTACCCAAATCCGTTCAATTTCCCCATTTCTGTTTGTTAAAGATCTATTTTCGGCTGGACGTGGTGGCTCATGCCTGTAATCCCAGCACTTTGGGAGGCCGAGGCAGGTGGATCATGAGGTCAGGAGATCGAGACCATCCTGGCTAACATGGTGAAACCTTGTCTCTACTAAAAATACAAAAAATTAGCCGGGCGTAGTGGCGGGCGCCTGTGGTCCCAGCTACTCGGGAGGCTGAGGCAGAAGAATGGCATGAACCCGGGAGGCGGAGCTTGTAGCGAGCCGAGATTGGGCCACTGCACTCCAGCCTGGGCGACAGAGCGAGACTCCACCTCAAAAAAAAAAAAAAAAAAAAAAAAGATCAATTTTCTCAGTTACAAAGATCCAAGCCTCGAGGGTATTCTACCCTAACGGAAATAGTACAGGCTTTGTAGTCAGACTTAAACCCTGGCTTTGGCAACTACTAGCTGTCCTGCCTGGAGAAGTTGCTTACCCTTTCTGAGCCTCAGTTTTCCCTTTCATCGAATCAGGATGATAATACACACTTCATTCGTCCACTCAGCAAGCGTTTACTGGGCGCCCCATACACAGCAGGAACTGTTCTAGGCACTGCGGATACGAAGACTTCAACAAAACAAACATTGCTCTTGCCTGAAAGGAGCTTACAAACTTGAGAGGGTGAGACAGACACCCATCAAATAAGCAAGCACACATATTGTATGCCAGATGGCAATATGTGCAAGGGAGAAAAGTAACACAGACAGAGTGAGGGAAAATGGAATGTGCTGGCCTGGGTTACTAGTGTCTTACTCAGGTGATGAAGGAAGACCTTTCTAGTAAGAAGAACTCACATCTGCGGAAGAATGTTCCTGGAAGAAGGAGAAGAGCAAAGGCCCTAAAGCAAGAGTTTGAAGAATGACAAGGGGGCCTGTGTGGCTGAAGCAGAGGGAGGGAAGGAGAAAGGGAGTGTAAGAGAAGGCGACACAGAGAGGGCTGGGGCCAGATATGCAGGGCCTTATAGGACTTCGGCTTTTTACTCTGGCCAAGAAGGAAGCCTTGGGAAGGCTTCAAGCAGAGGAGTGAGACAATCTGATGCAGTTTATGAAAGGATCCCCCTGGCAGTGGCACAGAGTATGGCCCCTGGCCTGTGTGGATGGGGCAGAAGCATAAGACTGGCCATTTGCATCCCACAAATGACCTCGGTGTGAGGGATGAGCGAGATCATACACGAATGCACTTGTATGAGTATGGCACAGAGCAAGTGCTCAAGCCATGGCAGCTTCTATCAATAGCCCTGCAGCTGCCTGGCTATAGCTTCCTTGTCTGCTGCAGACAAGTCTTGGCCAGTCACATGGGTCCCTCTGTCATTGCCCACTCAGTCACTCCCATTGCCCCTAACTCCTTTCTTCAACCCTTCACTGGTGGTTAAGCTCCTAGCACAGTAGCCTCACCTCCAGGCTCTCCCCACCCCAACCCAACCCAAATGCAACTCCACTCACATCCTTCCGCTGTTCAAGAGTCTTCCATGGACTAAAGGCTCATTAAATCCACATTCTTGGCTGGGTGCAGTGGCTTACACCTGTAATCCCATCACTTTGGGAGGCCGAGGCAGGCAGATGGCTTGAGCCCAGGAGTTTGAGATCAGCCTGGGCAACATGGCAAAACCCCATCTCTACCAAAAAAAAAAAAAAAAAAAAATTAGCCAGGTGTGGTGGTGCACAGAGCTACTTGGGAGGTTGAGTTGGGAGGATCACCTGAACTCAGAAGGTCAAGGCTGCAGTGAACCACAATAGCTCCATTGCACTCCAGCCTGAGCAACAGAGCAAGACCCTGTCTCAAAAAACTAAAACTAAAAATAAATAAATAAATAAATAAACAAACAAACAAATAAATAAATCCACAGTCTTGGAGACTAGCAACTAACGCCTTCCACAATAAGATACTGCATGTACGTTGCCCACCCATATTCAACTGCTATCCCAAACATATTGAATACTTGTGGAGAAATATGGGTGGGTGCAATATGTCACTCCTAGCAGAATCACTGAGGAAACTGACCACACTCACGATGGAAAATTCATGGTAATGGGTCCTTCCCTCAGGTTCCCCAATCCCACAATATGCCCTAACCATGGTGGACATGTATTCCTGTCTGTCACTGGCTTACTTCTCCCACCAGGCTACCGCAAACTCCACAATGATATATATTCCCTTAAAGCTACAAAATGGCTTGTGGTTTCCAAATCAGTTTTCTCTTACTGCTCTTATCTCCCTTGATACTTGCCCCTGTGGGCCCCTCATCCATAATAAAATGCCCTTGTTTTACATTTACTAGTTCTGACAAGAGTCCCAGGTTCCAAGCCACGGATTGCCTTATGGG